TTTGTAACTGTCAATAACAGAATAAGAACTCCAGTAATTATTATGATTTAAGTATTAATAATCACTATCTGTATTAATAATTACAATCTACGAATTCAAATAGATTACATTATTTTTTTAGATTGTATAAAAACTTATCAGATTTTGCTTCAAGGATTTCAATAAGATATTTAATGTAGAAATTTGTAATTTAAGCATACAGTCGAGTTCCGTTAGAAGAAAGCTCAATCTCAAATTAAACTATATAATCCAGACACAAACGACACAGCAATCTGTTTATAAAAGTCTTATTTATATAATTTCTTATTAATTACAAATTTTTTTCTATCTTTTAACTCTACTCTTTTTCATGTTTCCTCTCCTTTTTCTATTGAAATCGGAGTCATGATGTACACTTATTGTTAGTCTATTCGTTTTATCAGGTCTGTTTTTTTATAGCTGAACTATATAGTATATACTTAAAGTAAAATAGATATATGTTTGAAATTTGGCAAGAGAAACAAAGAAAATTCTAGTTCAGTCCAGTGCAACAATAAAAAACAAACTTAGTAAACAACCTAGCAATAAAAAAAAAACATAAACACAGAGTATTGCGGAGTACTGATAATCACAGATTTCAGAGAAGAAATTCTATAGAAGTTTGTCTTGATAACGCAATCTGAATCGGAGCATATAGGTTAAGCTTCAAGCTCGACGCGAATGCATGTCTGGAATGCGGCGCACCTTCACCCTCTTGCCGTCTATGAGTACAGTCTTCATGGTGAAATCGACGCCGATGGTGTTGCCGTGGCGCTCAACAAATGTTCCGGACCTGAAGCGCTGCACCACGCAAGTCTTGCCCGTGCCGCAGTCGCCGATTAGGACGATTTTGAACAGGTAGTCGAAGCTCTCGTCATCGCTCGTGTTCATCATGAGGTTGTCGGGGTTGCGGCACGACATTCTCAGGACGAGGACTCACGCGAAGGCGAGGGCGACGACGACGGTCGCAAGGACTTTGCGCTTGGCGGACAACTACCTACGCCATCGCCGTGTCCACGAGCCTCCCCCAAGTCTCTTCATCCAATTGCGTCCATTTTGGTCCATCTTACCATCCCGCTGCCTGCGATCCGTATCGGTGACGAATCGCGGAACTGCTGCTGACCCCCTCTTCCTTTCTGTCTTCCTGCTTTTCTTTTCAGTTCCTTTCCTTCGCGTGATTGCGTTTATCTACATGAATCTTCTTTTCTTATTGTTGGACATATCTTATTTGAGATTTGAGACAAAGCGTGATTTGAGAACAAGCGAAAATAAATGTATGAAAAATATTGAATTTAAAAAAAAAGAAGAAACGAGAATATAACAAGTCATGTTGTAAGAATTAAAATATTTAAGATAAAAAAGTAATACAAATTAATTTATTCTGCACAGCACATTAGAATAAGTAGAGATAAAGGGAAGTAAAAAATACAAGAAATCACCTTAATGACTATAAAGTCTGGTAAAATATCTAGGAGATAAAAATTCTAGTTTTAATTTAATACAGTTATTATTTAGTTTATTCATAACAGGGAACATTTTCTTTTTACATAATAAAACAAAAATCAAATTGTCATTGTGTTGATTCTAACATACTCCATTTTGTTTGAATGTTTTTTTGGAAATTAATCAGTAAAGATACGCGTCAGCACATAATTTTATTAACAATTCTTACGAACTACATTGTTATGAGAATCGCAAATTATCTTAGTATCTTAATACTAATTCCTAGAATTACTTTCCAGATGTGAACTTTGATAAGCCCTCCAATAGACTGACGTAGGCTGTGTGCTCATAGCACGTGCTCAAATCAATCAGTTTTTCTGCAAATTCGTTTGAGATACCTTTCTCTTCGAGGTAGTTCATCAGTAGATCGTACAGATACTGTAAAATAAAGAAATATTTAATTTAAGCTGATTTATCTAATATGTAATAAAAAAAAAGAAACAGTCTAATTTATGTAGAATGTACTTTATTATCTTAGTTACCGAAGTATTCAGATCTGGAGAAAAGAGAATTAAGAAAACATATCAACGAAAGAGAGAGAGAGAGAGAGAGAGAGAGAGAGAGAGAGAGAGAGAGAGAGAGAGAGAGAGAGAGAGAGATTTTTGAGAGAGAGAGAGAGAGAGAGAGAGAGAGAGAGAGAGAGACTTAGAATAAAACATGTCACATTCTTATTTTGATGAACACATGACAAGAGATCATGAGTTAATTTTATAAGAACGTTAATGATTTTCCAAAGATCAATAATCAAAACAGCCTTGATACAAGTTGCTTTGTACTCAACACTTTGGAGATATATTTAACCTTTATGCATCAAATTGATATGTATTATAACTTCTTTAATTTTTTACTCAAAACTTTGAAGTATATATTAAAGCAATAGTCTACAAAGCAGAGAGATAAATTTAAAATCGAAATATTTTCATTTTGGGCTTTTAAGTCTTTAATATTTATACTATATGTCAAAATAACTATAATATATTTAATTATTTAGTTGTATTAATTTTTACATAAAATAATAATTAGAGATATAGAGACAGGATAATAATTCCTTGTTTCTTCGGAAATCATACTTACCCCATCAATGATTTCACCAGCCACAGAGTACACCCTTTCATTGTGGTTGCCTTCATACAGTGTGATTTCATCAATGCCAAATATGTCATCTACAAACAAATTAATAATACATGAAAATAATACATGAAAATTAAAATTTAAAAAATGAATAATATAAACAATCTAACAAATCGCTTACTTATTACAAATGTACTTACTGTAATTATCATCAGCACCTGATGCACCAACTTGGTTGTTGAAAGAACATGAAAAACCTAGAGTCTGATTACCTCTCACTATATCTACTGAAAAGTTTGGCTTGCTCTTCATTTCGCCAATGTCCACATTGTTGCCACTAGGATTCATTTCTGTTTCAGAATCTGCATCTACTGTATGGTTCACATTAAATGAAATATGGATACTGGAAAAGAATATTGTAAGTCAGGTACACACATAATAAATCAACACTTTAAATCCATATATCAATATAACAAAATTTTCTTACGTATCAGTGCCGTCTTTCTTTTCAAGACTGACTTCGGCGCCATTAAGGGATACTGAAAAGCCATCTAATGTCGTTGGTATCATCTTCAATTTTTGTGCCTTCTTTTCAGCTACTATCTCCTCAGCCAGAAATTCCACTAATTCCTTCTCCGCTAATAAAAAAAAAACATAATTAATAAAATAAACAAGCAGAATTATATAAAATTACAAAACAAAAAATCTTGCTTGTTGGTATAATTTTAGATTGTCATACTTAAGAAAAATCAAATTGTACAGTGCACAAAGCAAAATTAAATAGAATTTTAAAAAGGATATAAGAAATCTGTGTACTCGGAGAGAACTAATTAATATCTACAAATTATAAGACTTCAAATCTGTTCTTTATAGCACTGTATATCATTATTCTTTGCAGTTAAACTATACGTTAGATTAGAGAAAAAGGAAGGAGATAAAAAGTATGAAATTTACCTACAAAGCATATCTAACAAATTTTTCAATTGCATCAGCCTACAGTCATCAGACTTAAAAAAAACTTAAAAAATTGCTATTTAATAGAAGAGAAAAAAAAGAGGATGTTTCAAGTCACAACTAGAGCTTAAAACATTTCCGTTTCCAAGTTGAACATTTCTTTCATAAACATGGAAACCAACAAAAGCGCATGCGAGTCATGGAGACGACCAACGCATAGTTTACTCGACACAATCCCATCGTCGACGGGTCGATACACACCTTTGGTGTGCGACGTGCTGTAACATCTTTGAGCGCGGAGATCGTGCAGTTCAGGCGTGGAAATGAGAGGCGTGATCTCGGCGATCTGCCGGCGACCACAGGCGTTCCACAGAGCCCTAGCGGGTTGGCCGCTGCTGTTACTGCCGCACGAGGACGACAGCATGCCACGGAGTGCCGTGGCGCGAAACGCGCTCCTTACGATGCCGTTCATGTTGGAGGGAAGTTGACGGAAGAAAACTACGCGATACAACGTGATGAATACAGAATACGGCAAGTACGGCGTCCGACGGTCCGACACGAGGGAAATGATTGCGTCACGACGATGTCTTGTGCCGGGTTTCCGGTGCGCAGACGAAGAGCAGCAGAGAGTGCAGAGACAGTTTCCGGCGACGCACGTGTTTATATTAAGGTGTTATTACATAGGAGCGTCAATGGGCGCATTCAGCGGACTAAATAGTTGAGTGAGTGCTCGCTGTTATTGGTGTATTCTTTTAGCTCATCCAATCAGAATTTTAGATTTAGAAGAATACACCAATAACAGTGAGCGCTCACTCAACTGTGATAGCGTTTTCGGCCCGACCGGGTTTGCACCAACCTGGGTTGGATTAATGGCGTTTTGCGCTCTCCTATTGGTAGAGCGTGTGACATCAACTAATAGGAAAGATTAATCCAACCCAGGTTGGTGCAAACCCGATCGGGCCGAAAACGCTATAAGAAATTGACCAATCACTGTCGATTACTCTTCTCACATTCGACTGTGATTGGTCAATTTCTTACTCTTCTTACTCCGTGTATTGTAGACGGGCCTTAATGCTACGGGAGGATCCCGTTTGCCTACAGTTCTGATTGTACACACCACTCATATCAACTGGTGCCTAGTAATTTTTCACTGTTTTGCCAATGAGATTATTTTATTTTTAAATTGGCCAATCAGCGATATATGTGTGCAATATGCGATGTGTGCAATCGGAGCCCTCCCTTTCGAAGCGTTTGTAGCGCCAAGTGGACCGCACCAACAGTGAATTTTCTCATCGCGGTACTTTGTTAATCTAGTGACTTTACTGTATGGACATAATTCCCACGACTCGCATCATTGAACGCAGCCAAAAGGTGCGTTCCGTTTCTCGCATGATACGCATAATGCGTCGTTTATCCTTGTTGCTCACCAAATGTTAAACAAGGACAATGGATGCATCATGCGCATCATGCGCGATACGGAACGCACCTTACGTCATCTATTCGGCGGGAAACAGTAGAACAACGGACTAGAACGTGCTAGAACGTAGCGAAGAGAGGTAAGCGGTATTGTGCGTGATCGTCAAGATTTGGAACTTTTTTGCGAAAGCTCTCTGTTTCGATAAGAAATTGATAGACTCTTACGGCCGTGCTGATAATAATAAACCGCAATCATGTACAATTTAACGGAAGGAGCATTGGAGGTAAGTCTTTCGAAGTTTCTATATATTGCGCTGTTTAACATTAAGACTTTATTGTTTCAGAAAATCATGCGAGGCATAGATGTTCATAACCCAGTTCTTCAAGTATTGGTGAGTGCGGAAATAATTTGACAGAATCTGATCAATTATATCTTTGCGAATCGAAATTGTTTATTTTGAAAACATGACCTTTATGGCTAGCAACATCCAGGTTAGGGAAGTGACGCTGCTCCTGTTGCTTTTATTTGGATTATAGATTGAAAAATATAAAGTTTGTCATACTTTGATGTGACGTGTGTCATGAGTCTGTTATGTTAAACTCATTTTTATTGTCAAAAATTAACTTTTATTATATGTGACGGGTCATTTGTATTCTGGGTTAATTTTCGTTGTTTAAAAAAAAATTAATTCTATACATATATTTCGAAGAAAAGAAATGTATAGGATATGATTGACCAAGTCGTATGTACAAAAGGTTAAGCTCTTTCGCAGTACCTTTATAGCAAGGATTCTGTCTTGTAGCTTTTTAGGAAATAGAGTTTTAAATAATGTGCGTAATTTTGCAGAGTTACAAGAAACTGCCAAGAAATGCAAATAAAGATGGTTCTGGTAATGATCGATTCAGATTGCTGATATCTGATGGACAGAAGTTAAACTCATTCACGATGTTGGCCACTCAATTGAACGATCTGATCACAGAGAATATTTTGAATGATTATGCGATCTGCAAAATAACTAAGTATCACATGAGTTCAGTGAACAACAATGGCAAAGACAAGTACTATTTTATCTTCTTATTTATGCATTTAAGTATATAAATAATTCAAGCATCAAATTTTATTCTATTAGACGCGTTATGTTGATATTGGATATGGAAGTATTGGTTTCTGGCGATCAAGTTGGAAACAAAATAGGTAATCCGACTAATATAGAAATGAAGCCAGAGCTTGAATCTACGTCTACGTCTACGTCTACGTCTACATCTAAGGCCACAACTGCACATTACCAAAGTAAGTATATTGTTGATGTGTGTCAACTGTATTTAGAATAAATTATCAATTAATTTGGAATGGTGATACTTTGGTATGTAACAAAATTTTTGTTATTTATAGATGGTTCAACCAGAAATGGTACTTCAAACAATCAAGCCTCTTCTGACATATACACTACGCCAATCGCAGCATTAAGCCCTTACCAAAACAAGTGAGAGAGAGAGAGAGAGAGTTCTATGTAAACTATGGATCTGTTTTTTATTCTTGCATTCAACTCTACATTAAAACTTTCTTTCCTTAGCCAAACATTAAATATTACTTATTTGAAATTTTATGCTAATTCAAGTATAGAAAACAGACGTATTTCCAGATGTCAAAATATACTTTATACATATGTGATGTTGAAGAAAAAAGAATAATGATAATATGTGTTTATATATAGATGGGTGATTAAGGTTCGTGTGACCAATAAATCTCCAATCAAAACATGGAGCAACTCCCGTGGAGAAGGTAAGCTTTTCTCCATGGATCTGATTGATGAAAGTGGCGAAATTCGATGCACTGCATTTAGAGATCAATGTGATAAGTTCTACGACATGATAGAGGTATATTTTTTTTGCACTAAAATCTAAAATTAGCAATGGTATACACATTTTTTTTCTACAATGGATCAAAAACTATTTGTCGTTCTGTTTATGTAGACTGGAAATGTATATTATATCTCACGGTGCACACTGAAGGCGGCGAACAAACAATTTTGCACATTGAAAAATGATTATGAGATGACTTTGACTAACGATACGGAGATCATACCTTGCCACGAAAACAGCGATGACATTCCAACATTACAGTTTGACTTCTGTCCCATAAGTCAAATAGAAAACAAAGAGAAAAATGACCTATTAGGTAATGTAATATTCTTATAACAATTAATGTTTTATTAAATCTTAAACATTAGTTTCATTAATGAAATAATTTTTTCATCATTATATTTATCCTTAATAATTTTCTGAGGCTAACATATACATATATATCAATTGTTAACGTTTGTATTACTTTGCATTTTGCTATTCGTTTTTATCTTATTTCTAAAATTATTTAAGTATCAATTAATAATTGCTTTGTATTAAAGTTTTACTATATAGTTTTACAATAATAAATCATCTTAAATTTTATATGAGAAAAACATAAGATTTATACGTAATTTTTGAGAATTATTTAATAATACGTTCACGCATAATAGATGTCTTGGGTGTCGTTACAACTTTCAACGATATACAACAAATTGTACAGCGAACTACTGGCCGAGAACTCTTAAAGAGAGACGTTAATATCGTCGATGACAGTGGTACGATGGTGAGTAATTTATTGACATGCCAGATTTTCAAATTTTGCTGTTTTGGGCAGGAATAAATAAATTTTCTGTTAGGTGTGCGTTACATTATGGGGTAAGCAGGCCGAAGACTTTGATGGTTCGAATAATCCAATCATAGCCATTAAGGGAGCGCGCGTGGGTGAATTTAATGGTGGAAAGAACTTGTCTCTTTTACATTCCTCTGTATTTGAAAAGGATCCTGATCTTCCCGAAGCACACAGGTATATTCAAACTGGCTCTTAATTAAGATATATAATTATAAGATAAATACTTTTAACTTTTTAATTACAACTAAAATTTATTCGTACTAGAGATAAATGGCCTTATTTTTTATCTGTATGTAATTTTTAATGTTAATTTTTTTTTTATTAATTTATGCTTGGAGATATATAGTTACATAAAGTTAGTAACATACCATTTATATAATGTATTACAATGTATATTTCAGATTGCGCGGATGGTACACTGCAGTCGGCCATTCGGAGAACATAAAATCATTATCTAAAGCAGGCGGAGGTGGTGATTTCAACGCGCCATTATACACTTTCGAAGAGGCGACTGAAGCTCGATTAGGAGAGAAAATGAATCTTGCAGATTCGTTTACGGTGGTGGCGACTATTAATATGATCCGCGTGGAAAATGCTATTTATAAGGCGTGTCCCGTAGAAAGTTGTAAGAAAAAGGTAAATAATGTACGATATATTTACGGGAAAAAAATTTTGTCATATTTCCAAGCTTCAATGTGAATTAATGAAATTTCAGTTGATCGATCAATCTACTGGAGTCTTTAGATGCGAGAAATGTAACAAGGACTACCCAAATTTTATTTATCGCTTACTGGCAAGTGTATGTATTATCTTTGCATCCTTTTTATTCGTTATATTTGAAAGTATTTTCTGACATCTGTTTGATTTATTATAATAATTTTCAGATGAATATAGTGGATGCAACAGGCAGTCGCTGGATAACTGCCTTTAGTGAAGATGCCGAGAAGATATTGGGAATGTCGGCACAAGAGTTGGGAGAATTGAAGGAGAACGATAATGATGCCTTTTTGCAAAAATTCGGCGAGGCAAGCTTCAAGAAGTTCATATTCACTTTGAGGGCGAAATCCGAAGTTTTCCAGGTAATTAATATAATTTATTATTAATAAGATTCCTTTTGCAGTTTTTTCTGCTAATTTTCACAATAATTGTCCATTCTTTTATCATTGTATAAATCGTATTCTAAGTTAATCTTATTTTTAATGCTATTTCATATTATTTTTTAATACTATTTTTTCTAATAATTTCAATGTTTCTCAGGATGAAATGAGAATAAAACATGTATGTTCGTCAGTCGCACCTGTAAATTACAAGACTTACCTGACACATCTAACAGACAGAGTCTCCAAGCTGGTGCACATTGAGAAATTGAATTCCAATTAGATTTCATTAGATACGTTTCATTAAAGTGAAATTTTTGTTTAAAACCTATAAATTTATGTGTTTAATTTAAGTATTGTGATCTATATTTTCTATATTTTCTGCTAGTATTCGGCGAAATGCGATTATTCTTTATTGTAAAAGAAGAAAAGCAAATGTATTATGTAAGATTAACGCCTCTATGTTAAGTATGTTAATCGTTCTACAAGAATATTTATAATTTTTCTTTATATTATGATTGCTACATAATAACACATTTGTTTGTGCCAGTAGATTTATAAAATAAATATTTCTAATTTACGCATTGAAACGCTTGCGTTTTTATTATTTATTATAAATAAGTTAAATCTAATGTAAGTGATATGACTGGAAAATAATAAATTAATAATATTTCATTATTGTCGTTGCCTCATTTTCCTTTTTAGGTCCTAAGATTCTTGCAAAATCTCTTCGGAATAATTCCGTTACTGTTACGTAATAGCAATGTAATATTTACTTAGATTATATTAGATATCAGATGCATAAAATGTGTTTCTGTGAATGCACGTACCTTCTAATAGATTCAAGTATGATAAGATCGTTACCGGAAAGCGGATTCTTATCAGAAGACGACTTGTCACGCTGTAAAAATTCTTCGATAACGTGATTGTGAATTTCTTATCAAAGTTCTTATCTGGATCGTCGATAGTTCTTTTCTCATTTTTTTGGTTTAGACAAGACGATGAATCCCGCGAAAGATCGAGCGAAGGAATCGAGTCGGGACGACGTATTTAATACTTAAATGGTTTATTATTTGCCAAGAAGTAAAATACACAGGCATTTGTTATAATGATACTGCCGAGGAGTAAAACTTTTTTTTCCTTTTTTAATACGACGGTATCGTAAATAACATCTAGCGACATTATAATCGGTACTAAAAAGAGAGAAGCTGGTCTCGTGTCCCGTCTTTTTCCCTGCTTACATCAGTAACTTTACAATTTACAAATGCGTTTCCCATGCGCCGCGATCCTCATTCTCGTCCTCGTCAGTCTTACATTCGTCGTCGTTCTACTGTATGTACGAATAGCACGAATGCCTCGAAGATAGCCCTCCATTACACCTTGCACGTTTGCACGGTGGTCCCAAGTACATTTGTCTCTCGCACTCGTACAAGTACACGAGGAGGTGGCTCGCATCTCCACGCACATTTCCGAAGCGGGAATCAATCGATGGAACGAGTCCTGACGGCTCGATCGCGAAATCAGTACTTCGAATCAGTTATCATTTCATGAAGTTTACGAGATCAAAGATTGAAGATCAAAGATCGAAGAGGAGAAAGTGCTACAAATTTTTCTTTTTTTTTCCAGATACTTCAAAGTATCATCGAGACTTTGAAGTAATAACTAAGAAAGAAAAAATATTGTTTAGTTAATATAAGAGTATATTATTGAAACGTGCAGATTCTGGCTCCGATCGGATGTAAAAGTTGGATTCGATCTCGTGCCACAGCATCAATTCCCAAAAATTTTACGCCTGTAGTCGCAAATGAGGCCGCATATCACATTGCCGGCAGTTCCGCTGAAGCTCTTTCGATCTCCTTTAATGTTATTAACTGTCGATGCGGTTAGTTATGTCAAGGTACGTAATTGTCGCTTAGGAGATATGGAATTGTTTCCGTATTCGTATACAGAGTGCCTCCGGATCTGTCGACCGTCTCTCCGGCTGAAGGTCTCGTTCTAATTTCAGATAATCATCCGCGTTATTATTGACTCGTCAATTTTTACCTGACGTGTCTCGAAACGAACGAATATCCTGGATATTCCGAAGCGAAAACGACTAATAAATCGATGAGTTATTTAAGACTCAATCCTGAAATGAACTTGATCCAAAATGATTAAATACTAATTCTAGGACTAATTCTGGTGCAAAATAAATTCTTTCATCTTATCCTTGAAACCAAATTTACCGAGAAATTTTCATTGAAATGAAATAATTTCAAATATTAAGAATTGCTTCAAGCGCAAGATTGTATTCAAAGCAAACGTTTTCACTTCTTCAGCCTGATACTGTGGCTAAGCACTTTCGACAGCCCCAGGACACTCTGCGCTTTTACAAAGAGCATGATTTTTATCTTATATTCCGGGTTTCCTCCATTGCTCACACGCTCTTCATCCCTCACATCGTTACTCTCATTCGCGTAAGATCTCTCTTTCGCTCTCTTTCTCTCTCTCTCTCTCTCTCTCACTCACTCTCACTCTCACAACGCACATACGCACTCTTTTACATTTTTTACCTTATCCTTTTCACTCCGTTAGTTTTATTTTTCTTTAATCGTCGCATCCTTAGTAATCTATCTACCTAATTGCCTGTAATCTATAATACATTATTTGTGTGTACGTTTGTGTGAGTAGGTGTTTAAAATGTATCACATAGACCTGCAGATTCGATATGACTTAATCGTCGGGATAAAGGGAGGGGGGAGGG